GGGGGGGGGGGGGGGGGGGCACATAATGTATACGATTAAATGAGCGTTTCTGTATAAAATGTACATGTGTTCGCTGATATTCTAGATACGCCCATTTATAAGCTTCATACGTGTGTGCTAAAACACCGACACACCAACAGATGTATCGATTGTATCGTGTTGGTATTTTCGTGTAAGAGAGATCCGGAAGAGCAACACAGTCGCGCGGATTGATCGTGAGGATCATGACGCGGTAATTTGCTCAATTTTGTGCGACTTGACATCTTTCTCGTTGAATTATGAGCTGAACAAAGACCATCGAGATGTCCCGAGTTGGATCTCTTTCGTTTCTCCAGTGTTGGTCGATAACTTAAACTTTTCTTTGATTATAAAGTAATCGATCATCGAAATTAATCAATTGCCATATATGTAAAATCACAAATAATTTCGTCGATTGATGAAATTAATTATTAATCAAACTTTGATATAATCGATCAAATTATTCGCATATGACAATTGGTTAATTTTTATTGTTTTAGTCAAAGAAAATTTTCATCAATTAATGCCCAGTACTAGGCGACACGTTGCAAATATATCGTGCTCCAAATCAAATCAGGATAATGTATATTTCTATTTTGCAACGCGGAAGACACCGATATCACAGGTAACTTTGGAAATAGAGGAGATTTAATGTTTCATTGATCGAAGTGAAACGATGGTGAGATAAAAAATGTATCCAAGTCATTATTGTCAATTATGTTTCGTAGAAATCGGCTAACTAGAGTCGTACCATCATTGTCGACGCTGACTATACCGACTGTCTTGCTCTTCGCTCGTGTACGTGAAGAAGAATGTACACGTGCGATCGAACGCGGACAAGTGGGAGACAAGTGAAACAGATCGATCGATAAGTGTATAGTTAAAAGTGTCTACGGAGGCGAAAGAGAAAGATCAAGGCGAGATCGACTTTTCTACGAACCGAGGGGAAGGGTAAACTTGGAGTTTTGCGGAATATACCTCGCAGGTACATCACAAAGGAGTCGAGATTAAAACGCTGGACAGACTTGGTGCTCTCTTTCGCGGAATTAAATCGCTAATTTGAAAGAAAACTGAAACGACTGTCGCGTATTTTTATGTAAAAATCGTCATAAAAATCGTCATAATCAAATTGCCAAGCGTTTCTCGGAGAAACTACTCTCACAGAGTTTGTAGAAAAAATATGGAGAAAAAATATATCTAAAAGATTTATTCGGTCATATTTTATTAATTATATATTTACTTGTATCAAAATTCTTTTATTTTCAATAAACAAGTGTTTTCAGGAAAAGCTAAAGTGCTTCAAGAAAATATATATTTTCTTATTTGAAAAATATTATTCATACAAATAAGCATGTGTTATTAGTGTCTACCAAATAAATGTTATATTTTTTAGATATTTTTTAGACATTTGTTTTCTCAGTGTATAATATTACGGCATAAGTGAGAAATATCGTGTGAAAATATGTATATGTATATAATGAAATGTATATATATATAAATGAAAAAAAAAAATTTATATATATATATATATATATATATATATATAAAATGTGTACACGCAAAACAGGACAGCTCTCTACAGATTTAATCGCGCATCTCGCCGTTGAAAAAAAAATCAATCTTTCCTCCAATTAAAAATAGATGTTGACCCGTCTATGATGCGATCGATGTTCCCATCGACGAACCTTTGTGGTGTACTCGCAAGTGTATCAGTAATCGGAGCACAGGTGGCACGCAGGTGGAGAAGGTCGGCCAGAGGATAAGCAACGAGTGGGTACTTAACTACTCGAGCTATTGTCCAACGATCGACTTGCACGTGAGCGAGAGTAGTATCTCGAATGATGGATCAATACGCGCGCTTCTTACGTTGGTGTGCGTCGAGAACGCGAACGGATTAATCTGCTGGCCCAGTACTCGCTGATAAGCCTGATATCGATGCACCGTTCGGAGATTGCACCGAACCGAAAAGTCGGAAGCGCGATCAACTCGGCTCGAGATCGAGTACCCTTCGTGCACCTCGGACATATGAGGAGAAGAGTCTGACACGATTCGATCTCCCATGTCCTGGCACAACGAGTCACAACGCTTTATCTCTCTCTCTCTCTCTCTCTCTCTCTCTCTCTCTCGCTCGAATCGCCGCTGAAAGCAGCTTCCGACGTCTCGAGACGGCCCTCTACGTCATTCTAGCGGTTTTCATCTTCAGCACAACGCCTAACCCCACCGGATCGCGCGTTAGGATCCTAATGAAATTTCTTCCTTCGCGTTCCAATTCGATTCACAACCTGACGAGGTAGTGCCGCGTCGTTTGAATTAGTGCTGACAGTATAACTCGGATATTTCTATCCGGATGGGATATTACTCCGGGAGTATCCGGATAACTATATTCGTGAGTATTATTTACTAGACAGAGTAAATAGTTACGAGCATGCAATACATTCGTTCGTTATTAAGAAATCGATGACCTGGAAATAATTAAATTATAACTTCAGCCGCAATTTGTTCATGTGCGGAAGGCTTATAGATGCTAAATAAAGTTGTCTTCTTCCACGCTAAGCAAAAGATGTTTGCAACTATAATCGCATATAGAGAAATAATGACTATAAATTATGGTCAAGAAAAGAAAACCATTTTTTTATTAAATTCTGCTGCAATATTAGTGATAATAATCTTATTTGCATGTTACTATTTTCGTACCAGAAAATATGATTTAAATAATTTTAATATAACTATAATTTTCGTTGGGTCAACCATTTTTTTCTCTCAGTACGATTCGAATATAGGCGTGAAGCTTTCGAGTTGATACCCGAAAGACCCGGATAGTTAAAATTGACAGCACTAGTTCGAGTCGGGAATCCAAGACGGACGAGGACACGCAGCTTGATCCCGCAGCACGAGGATGCTCAACTATGACGTGAGTAGAGTCTAAATTCTCGTCAGACATGTATATATCATCGAATCTAAGAGCGTCCGAGGGTGCATTATTCATGCCGCACCATACGGTGGGTCGAGCGTCAAGCTGCAGTTTCTCCGCCCCATGTACTCAAGTTCCTCATTAAATCCCCGTAACGAGTATGCGACAAAGAGACGCGCACGTCGCAAACTCGCTAGAGGAGCTAAGAACTCGTGTACCTATTGTTATTGGGACTATCGCCGCGATTATTCCGTTCGCGTGACGACAATACCGCGACGGAATCGCTGTCATAATTCAATCTGAGCTTTCGAGCACAAAGACATGCTCTAACGGCTGGAGAGAATGGTCGACTGGCTTGAAATGAGTGCTCATTATGACGCCCAAATCGCCGAGCAACTTTTCAGCAGAACGTCGACACGACGACGAGTCATTCCGCAACATTAATTAATATTAACGGCGATGATATTCATTAATATTGATACTGATTCTCTAAGTATTACGTTGATGCTCATAAGCATTGAGTTGATGCGCATAAATATCTGCGCAAAAAGGTCTCAGATATTTATACATCTTCACGTATGTATGGGTACGTATATCGGATCTCTGACGATCGAAAGTCGGCTCATCCGATTCTATTTGCACCTTTGAGCATTCGCGAAATCAAACTTGATCCTAAAGATCAACCTGTTATCGTGCCGAGATAACCTATACAACTAGTTCGTTAATAACTACGAACAACTGAGAGAAAATTCGGCACGATTTCTGATCACGAATAAAAAGAGAGAGAAAGAGAGAGAGAGAGAGAGAGAGAGAGAGAGAGAGACAAAGAGAGAATTAGACGCGACGCGCAAGAAAAGACGAGATCTCCTACCTTTAACGTCATCGTCTTCAATCGTTGTGCTGCTATCGGTGGATTCCTTCACTTGAGAGCCATCGCCCTTCTTCGTGATGATGCTTCGACCTGGAGTGCGCAGAGCGTTTCAGTAAATCGGTATCAGGAAAGTAGAAACGGAAGAGAGATGTCGAGAGAGAGATAGAGCAGAGAGTCTTCTTAGAGAGCGTGAGGTAGGAATCAGAGAGGAAGAAGAGACAAAGTGAAAAAAATGAAAGGAAGAGGACGGGAAATAAAGATAGAGAGAGAGAGAGCACACCGTTGCAAAATGGGACGATTTTGAGAGGATACGGATCAGAAGGACGAATGGAGGCGACTGAATCGCAGGCGAGTCCACTTGGGATTCTGGGTGTTTATTTAGATCCGTTTCTCGATGTGCTCCCATCGGGACACGCTCTTGAGAGCGTTTCACGGTTTAAATGTGCCTCGAGTATATTATTTCTGGAGTAAACGCTCTTGAACGTGGAAGGAACATGGAAACTGCCGCGTCGCGATCCTCTCGCTGAACGCTCCTCCTCAATGCGACGATTAGCAAGAGAGAGAGAGAGAGAGAGAGGCAGAAAAAAGAAGAACAAATTCGCATCAGATGCCGCGAATATTAATCTGAAACTGGCGGCCGCTTTCCGGGAGCAGAACGCCAGACACGAATAGAGGAAGAGAAAGAGGATAGTGAGCTCCTCTTTCCGCGAGTCCTCATTGATCGTAAAACGCAACACGGAGGCGCCGCTGCGAACTGTGCTGCTCGCTCGTGCGCATCGAAATAAAATGTTAATTAAATCCGTCCGTTCGTTCGTTCGTTCGTCCGAACGACCGACGACGCAGCAGCGAGTAATCACGGATTTCCACATTATTCTGCGTTCTCGCTCCCGATAACGTCGGCAGTTGCAATTCCCGACTCGTTATAATCGCGATTTCTTCTCCGCGCTTTTCGCGAGCAATTAAGTTCTACAGCTTTACGAGTCGTAGTCTTTGAACTCGCGGAAAATGACGCAAACGACAAGAAACTCGTGATACGCTACTATTTTGAAATAGTCACTACAATATTCATTTTAGCGTTTCAAATGCGTCGTACGTTCCTTGCACGTTCTGTCGAGCCATCTAAGTCCGGTTTGCATCCGCTAATTCAACGACCTAATGAACAATCAATATTTCTCCTTAACGTCATTGCGTAAAATAATAATCATTCGTGTCCTGAACATGCGGGATTCAAGTGGGAGCTCGTCTATAATTTGCGTCTATAATTTGCTAAATAATAAGTGCCTCCCTGAGGGGAAGAGAGAGAAAGAGAGGAAGAAAAAAAGTACGAGTTTAGTAAAAAAAAAAAAAAAAATAGTAGAATACATTTAAAAACAATAACATACGACACAAACGGCGATTGAGTGACTCAACTAATCGCCGGAGATCAAGACACATAAACGGGTTCTGTGCGTCGGATCGTGGATAATGTGGTGGAAGTAATCGCTTCCCGGATAATAAGTGGAATCGAGAGAAAAGAAAGACACAAAACGAATCAGCGGTAAGGTTCAACATTCAAATGTTCATGCTGCCGCAAGTCGTATAATTCGTGCTATCGATACTGATTAGGTTAGGTTAGGTCTGATTTCTTTAACTTATCACAAGTGCGCCCTCCGCCTTCGTTTATCCAGCAAAATCGCAGACACCCTCAAGATGTCTCTCATTCTCAATCGAGCATCGAGATTGTTTTTCGATAGATCAAACTACTATTCCTCCTACCAACGGCGCGCGATTAAACCTTACGCTGAATTTAAATTCTACTCAGACTTCAAGACTGCAGGTTAAGGTTCAATCGCGCCGTTGGTAGGAACAGGCGTGAGAAAAGAAAAGGGAAATAATAACATTGGTCGCGGACTTTCCGAAGGTTTAGCTAGATATGCGAAGGCATCGAAGCAATGCAAGATGTGTGTAAATGCATGCCAAATGCGTGCAATTGGATGCAGTGTCGTAGTGTCACCGCATAGACACGCCGCATAAGGACTGAAAACGCTTCAAGTCGGTTAGTCAGTTTCTACGCACACACTCTCTGTGATAACGGACGCGAAACGAAAACCGAAACGATTAATATTAGCATTAATGACGGCACATCGGCGCGAGTCGCGCCGTTAATCATTTGAATAATAATTGAATATTTACAACAGGCCGTGCCATAATACCGAATAAACGCAATATTAACGTAACACAATTCGACAACCGAACATTTGTATATCGAGAGCGCTCGGGAAAACCCTGAAAATATTAAGATAAGGTGACCAGATTTCCTGTCCCAAGTTCGGGATACTTCATAAATAAGAGGAGGAATAATTATTTAGATATACATGTACGGAATAAAATAATATTTTAATTACATGAAATGTATATGAAAAATAATTGAACGACAAAAGTCTGCTGCACACCGTCAAAATAGAAACTATTGCTAAGACGAAACCATTATTATTTTTAAAATTAAGAAGAAAAAGCAAAGTTACTGCATTTATCAGAGCTGTGAATTTTCTTAAGAAAGTTTTTCTCTTTGTCAGAAGCATTTTAAAAATCCTCTAAACCGGTACGGTTTAGTTTGGTCAAATCCGCGACAAAGCAGTGTCCCGAGAAAAACGGAACCTGGTCTAGTCATCTAACTAAGAATATATAACTAAGAATGAGTCCAAAATAGCTGGAATTCTCGCTGCGCGAGATGTAGCGGTTATTATGTATGCATTAAGGATACTCTCGCTTCGGACATGTTGGATTGTAACGTCAGAAGTGAAAGAACACATATCCAAAATTCTTGCCATTTTCAAATAGAAAGATATATTTTTATAAAAGAATACTCTCGACCGCTTAAGCACACTTGTAAAATGCGCTCCTTCTTTGTATCCTTCTTCCTTGACAGTCAACCTAAATAGACGTGAAATCAACGCGACATAAATTCTTCCTCTTTAACCTACTTTTCCTCATAATTCTGCCACGTTTATTCTATGACTATTTATTGACTATCAAGGAAAAAGAATAATTTTCGGATTATTTCACGAATATGCTCGAACGATCTCAGATGTCCTTGCACACGAGTATCTTTTTATTTAGAAATAGCACGTAAGAATTTTCAGTGTGTCGTTTCTCACTTCTGACATCACAATCCAACATGGCCGCGACGAGTACCCAGAGCCTCAATAAACAGTCGTTGAAGCATCGACACCGTTGAATCATTTCGCCGTCGTTTATCTGCAGAGGATGCACTTTCAAGATATAAAAAGCAGACTGCTAAAGGTCACCGTGTTCTGTTCAATTTGTAGAAGAAAGCACGTTTATAGGAGGAAAGGAAACAACGAAAGAAGCGAGGTGTGTCTCGAGTGAAGTTAAAAACAACTTTGACTTTATCTCTGGGTAAGTTGGCGCGAGTCCCTGGAGAAATAGCTGAACGCTGCTCTCTTTTAATAGGGCTCACACGGGGAATATACATATACAGGGTGTCCCGTTACTACCGCATTATCTCTCAAGGGCGGGTTCCTGAGGTAATTTGAAGAAAAAAATCCTAATGCAAAAATGTTAAGGCTTTTTAAATTATAAACGATTAAAGTTGTCCAATTATATTGGTTAAAGTATGCGAGCTCAGGTACGGTACAACACACAATGATACATATGCATGCACATACATGAGAATTTGCATAAGATATGAAATTAATTTTAAGTAAATCTCTGAAAGAAACGTCAAAAGTGTGCTGATTTATTCTCATAAATGTATTGTGTGATATTTTATTCATAACATTTTGACGAAATTGTTACTAAATTTTACGATAAGTTTATTTAAATGATAGAAAAGGCAAATTATTATTACATACGTTGCTGTTGTATGTATGGAACTTCCGTATCAATATAATAAGTGCCAAAAGCAACATACTTATTGGAATTTATATAATATGTCGCATATATGATAATATTTGATAATAAATAGTTCATTAAAGCGTTTAATGGTTGTAATATTCATTTATTCAAAATATAATGTTATAAAAGGGAAATATAATTAAATAAATACATATCTTTTTCCATCTTTTTCATTTTCTCACATATTTTACATGTGTTATATTTTTAAACTAAATAAAATTAAACTTTATAATAAACTTTATAATGTCACGTCACAATGGGAGGTTATTAATCAAGTTATGTTAGTCACAGAGTATCGCATACTGTAAGTATGTCACTTTAAGACACATTCTCATACAAATTTTCAAGTTATACAGTAAAAAAGTGATGAAGGTAAAAATATTAAAAAAATATTAAAAAGCCAAATGCATGTAGAAGAACTTAATACTGAACAAAATGATAATTATCGCTATTTAGTCTACGTAATTTGTCAATAAAAATCATAGAAAACTTGCGAATTTTTAAAACTCAATATTTGCTAATTTAGCATATAAAGGAACAAGAAATATATGCATTTTTTATGACTTAACTGATAAAACGGATTACGTTTATATTAGTTTCGATAAAATATATTTAATATATGAGATATAGAGGTATGTCGCTTTTGGTTACTTTCCTTTATAATTAGTCAAATTTAATCGTTTATAATTTAAAAAGTATTATAACCTCGACATTTTTGCATTAGGATTTTTTTCTTCAAATTACCTCAGGAATCCGCCCTTAAGAGATGATGCGGTAGTGGCGGGACACCCTGTATATATATATATATATATATATATATATATATATATATATATATAAACATACATATGTAAGTATGTATGTATATATATATGTTTATGTCAGAATAGATCATAATTTTCATCCTATTGCCGGACGACTTTTGCACGAACGCGTTTCATTTCGCGATGTAAAATACTGCCGCTTAAGGAATTAGCGCTCTCCCACGATAGTATCACGGTGAGCAAAATAACTCGATTTAGTATTCTCAGGATTAAACGAGTTGTTTGCGAGGATACGGCATCAAAAGACGGCTGGCTGTTTCGCTCGATAAGAGCGAGTCGATACGGAAGGAAGTGCTCGAACCGCTAGAAATACAAGCGTGAAATGAAGCGTCACCGAGAATTCGCGCAACGGAGAAGAGAAGAGGAACA